TATATCTTATCTTATTTTCTTCTTGTTCTATTGAGAGAGTATTTTAATTAAAAGTAAAACTCATATATATTATTTCATTAAGAAGATAATCATATTTTATTATAAGTAAAACATGTATAAATTATTTTATTGAGAAGATAATCATATTTTGTCAGAAGTAAATCTTGTATATATCATCTTATTGAAAAAATAATCAGTTATATAATCTCTTGAAGCTATAAAAAGTAAATAACTGTTATAAATACAGTAACTATTACCATTTTAAAATAATTACATACGCATAATCTTAAAATGATAATAATATTTAATTTATTATATTTATAATTCTTATTATTTATTAAATTATGATTAGTTGTTCTCTAAAAATATAAATTATATTAATTAATTTTATTAAATCATATGTAATTTAAATTAGAAATTTCTTATTAATTTATTTACTTTCATACTTATTTTTTTTTACTATAAATAAATACTATTTATTCTGTAATTAAACTTTAGATTCAAATACTTTTAAATAATAAAAATAATTATAAGTTATAAAATTAAAACTGTTCATATTATATTTTATCTTATTTACAATTATTAACAAAATAATCTTACAAGTTTAAAAATTTTTAATTAATTACTTTATAATTCTAATCTTAATTCAATAAAAAATTGCTAGATAATTATAAAGAAAAAAAATAAAGAAATATAATTAATAAGATTATTAAAAAAGAAAAAATAATTAATATTAAATATTAAATTAATTTAAAAGAATAAGAAAGTATTTTCATAAAATTATATTTAAATTTAATAAATAAAATATCAAATTATATGAATTATATTATTGAAAATAAGAAAAAAATAGATTATTAATATATATTTTTTGTATATAATATCTTTTTTATATCTTTATAAAATAATAAATCAAATAAATAAAGATTATAAAGTTATATAGTTATAAAAAAATTCTTATTATGTATAATAATAATTTTAAAAATATAACTAATTTTATAATTTTTTATATTAAATAAAATATATTTTATATATTAGCTTAATAAATAATATAAGTAATCTTTTTGCTTTTGAAAAATAAAATTATAAATATATAATTTATAAGTTTTACTATATAAATATATTATTTAATTTATAATAAGTTTTAAATAAATAATTTTTTAGTAATTATAAAAAAATTAAATAGTAAGTTCAAAAATATAAATATTTTATATAAAATTACAGATAAAGATATTTAAAATAAGAATTTAAATAAGTTATTAATTATATATGATATGTAAGATGATCATGTGAGGTTATGTTGCACTTGCTCCTCAGAAAACATTAGAAAATTTTTACTAATAGATTTTTTTTGATACAGTCGCAGTGTAATCATTATTTATAAAGTATAAATCAGTAATTGATTTTGTGGCTTTAATTCAATAGTTTTTCGTAGCATTATTGAAAGATAATGCTAACCACTTTTTTAAATCTGTCATATTAAAAATCTCGATTGGTTGTTCAAAAAATTTTTCCCTCTTCATGTTCCTGAGCTTATTCAAGGATTTACGTTAAGTGATTCTTATGCACGTTACTAATTAATTTTCCGATATCATTATGACAGTCTTGTATATAATTACGTAATTTATCTGATTTATTCTATATTTGACAATGACATTATTAAATTATTCTATATTTAGTCACAATACAAAGTTGGAAAGTAAATATACTTGTAACAAAAAACGTGGATAAAATACTTCTTATTTAATTATTCTATATTTAATTACAATATGGGAATTAGTTTTATTTATCGCTTAAATACCCTAAGTTAATGCAGTATGATAGTTTATCACAGAATCACCTGTCATAATTTTATGTGACCAGGAATCTGTTTTGATAGTTTTTTAGTTGTTGACTGGCGATAAAAATTATACATAATTTTTGCGAGCATTAAGAAATTAAGTCACAATTCAGGCCAAACATACCCGAGAAGCATGTCAAAAATTCACAGAGATTTGGATTTATTGGTATCTATACAAGCTTTTTCAAACGAATCAAGCAGAAATTGCAAAAACAAGTCCAGGATAAACTCGAACAGTTTACCAAAAGACAGGGGATCAAAAAACCATTTTGGTTCCTACATCTTTTCATATCATAATTCATATATATTTATGGATTAGCTGTGATTGCGATAAAAATTCAACTGGCTACAGAGAAACATACTATCCAGATAGTTTAGAAAATATTAAAGATCAGGTTTAGATGAACGCTCACTAGTTATAAATTAAAGTACGGAAGCAAATTTGATTCATTCGGACCCTTTCCAAGCAGTTCATTTTCATCTAGTACGTAATTGATTTGCTCGTGGACCGCTTCATCTTGGATACCAAACAAGTGTACTTTGCGAGCACTAAGATAATAAATTTTACCGATCTGTTGATCCGAATGGGGCACATGGACATTTTGAGCTCAATCGTAACTGTAGTGGTCAACCACATCAACGCTGCAGAACGGCACCTTGCCCTTCAGTATAGAGTAATTCTGATTAATGAATTTTCTTTGTTCCTCCGCCAACTTGGTATTTTTGTTGTAATAGTTTCGCTCTAACTTGGCTTTAGCTAGATGCTCTTTATATCTCTTTAATAAATCCTGGGCATCTTCCTCTTTGCGGGCTTTAAATTGCAAGTCATTTCGCAACTGTTGACAGGTATCGCATAAATCGGTTCGAGGGCTCATGATTTGAATGTACGGAAGCTGATGCCATAATTTGCGGAATGCATCATACTTGAGGGCACGCAATTTACTATTTTCTTCTAGACCGGCTAAAAAGTCACGGTGAACAGACCTGTAGCTCATTTCCGCCGGTAGAAAGATAATGGATTGGGTTACGCGATTAACATTTCTGACTGGACTGGGTAAGCCATGAACTTCGGCATAATTTAGCAAAAAATTCTTGACCGCTGTAGCCACGTCGATATTGATGACCATCCTGGTTTTTCACCGTGGCATTCTCTTGACATTACCATGGACCCGTGGGAGGAGACCATTCTTTAGCAAATGATTTTTGATATTTTCAAAATAATTGCGGCCAATTAAGGTAAGTTTTTTGACAAATAGGGGTATTACGATTTCAACAGTAGACAGTTCTCTTATTGACACGAGTCTTGTTCTTGAGACGTCGACTAGTATTGACCGCACCACCATCCATGGCCTTGAGTTGGGCCATCAGAAAGATATGTTGTTCGGGTTTTGTTAGAGCCTGAAAGTCTTCTCGCAATTCAGCAAATTCTTCTTTAGGCAGTTTAGCAGAGCAACCGCAGCCACATCCTACTTCCAAGAAATGGTGAGCTTTTTCGTATTCGTTTATAATTGTGTTGTCTACATATATTACGCACAGTTTGTCTGATTTTGTAAAATTTCTTCCAGAGAGTGTATTAAAAATATATAGGGTTAATCCTATATATGATATGATACCTGTAATATTTTACTCTCCAGAAGTTTTTCTTTTTTTCCTAGGCTCTTGGGATGTTTCTGGTAATTCTCGCTTCTTAGAATTCCTGCTGACTTCGTCCAGAAATATCTTCTTGGTAAGACGGATTTATATATCTGTTATAACTGACATGTAATTGTTGGTAAATTTCATAGGTAATCCTTTCTTTATCCAAATATTCTTGAATAGCTTTGGTGTTGGGCACTTTGAAAACGTAAGGAGCAACCTTTTCGCCTTGTTCTCCTTTCAAAATGCTTCTGATGGTACTATAATCTTTCGGTTCCATAGTGGATTTTGATATAAACTAGTTTCATATTTATATATTATATAGAGGGATAGTCCTATGCGAAACTCACTACGGTTGTGCACACAATTAAGCAATTCTCATTTCTTTGTCGAAACTCTAAGCAATTATTTACATGCATACAGTTTGGTACTAACTTTAGAACATCAACCCTCATAATATTACATTAGCAAAAAAAATTAGTCCAATGGACCTTCTCCAAACACCCACACCTTGTAACTAAAGCAAAAAAGCTATTACAAAATAAAAAAGAAGCAACGCCAGCTTCAACTTCTACCGAGATTGACGACTCTACATCAATGCTACAGATTAAAGGAGTATATCAGATTCTGCGAGAAATGATGAACAATATCTATCTCCTAACTTACCTTTCTGGTAACTTCATTTCCACCTGAAAGCTGCCATCTGAGAGAGGATTGTCGACTTTGATTAAATTTCTAATGATGGCATGACGAGAGAAAATGCCTTCGACACTGATGACATCATCACCATCAGCAGTAAAGATGCTGATTTCTTATTTAGTTTTGATTGAAGGAGTATCGATAACAATAACGAAGTGTTCTCTAGAATATAGAAGAAACTGAGTATACATATACATATATAACATCAAAGGAAATCCACAATAGATCCAATTTTACAAACCCTGTATCGTAAAGATTGTATGGCAAGTTTCTCTGGCCCAGCACATCTTGCTGCGATTTCTCCTTTTTCTCATCTAGCATGCTGTTGAGTTTCCTTTTTTTCACTTCATCTTCTTTATGCACATTCTCGTCACTTACAACTCCATCCTACGTGTAATAAATATGAACAAACAATTATCTTATGAGACTGGTCCCAATGACAAGAAACAGAAAGAGAAGCTTGTCTTCTTATAGCTGACAGTAATTCTTGTGGAAAAATACTTGGCGGCAACAAATCTAACACGACCGAAAGGCCCGTCCTTTGAATCGTCTTTCATTTGATAATAAAATGATGCAGCTTCTTTGGATGTTGTGAAGATGTCCAAACCTTGAAAAACATGATACTGTTGGTGTTAGCGAGGGTCATGGTAATCACACATGAATGAAAGAAGCTCTCTCACCCCTTAGAAGATTTCTTGATAATATGCACAAATGAGACCGGTGTCAAAGTCCTCAATCATTCATCCAAGGGTTGTGCCTCCACGCCTTCTAAACAGCTCGCAAACATGACAGATCTTTCAGCTTTCCCACAGCAGTTATGCGAGTATTTCGGCGGAAATTCTAAAGTGGAAGAGAAAAAAGAAAAACAGAATGATTAGCAGCAAGGTAAGGAAAGGGTGATAAATCTTTACTTCAGCGAAGGGTGCGATGTGGTACAGCTTTCCTCAAGAGAAATGTGATAAATTACCAGCAGTCTTCGGCGGCATTTTGATGCTTGAGTCAATGAATGCAGACCAAAAAGTAAGCATAAAGAGTGAAAAATGCCATAAATACACCCGAATTGAGGTCTTGATATTTTTTTTAGGAAGACGGAAGAACAGTGCTATGCCATGTATATACAATGCTTGGGAATTGCGATTGACTTGCTCGAAAAGCATGTAACGGAGGTTTAGAGAAGACTAGGGATAGGATAGAATTAGTAAATATGGAGATAAAAGGAAACGCATCAGACATTTGCATTATTTACATTCATATGCCAATTCTCCTTCCATTAATAGAAACGAATTTTAAAAAAAAGCAAGGGACGAATCCCTAATGAATTGGATCGATTATGTATAATATTTGAGAAATTACTTCGGAAAGATAAAAGGCAAATGATTTAGTTCTCAACATCCATACCTGTAATACTAGTTTTTTACGGTCGTTTACAACTGAAAAACAGCTATAGACGTGTTCGGAAGACTTTATCAAACGTCTGCGAAAAAGTGCAGTAAAGAAACACTAATTTTTTACGGTCATTCACAACTGAAAAACAGCCACTCAGTTTCTTCTATATTCTAGAGAACACTTCGTTATTGTTATCAATACTCCTTCAATCAAAACTAAATAAGAAATCAGCATCTTTACTGCTGATGGTGATGATGTTATCAGTGTCGAAGGCGTTTTCTCTCGTCGTGCCATCATTAGAAATTTAATCAAAGTCGACAATCCTCTCTCAGATGGCAGCTTTCAGGTGGAAATGAAGTTACCAGAAAGGTAAGTTGAGAGATAGATATTATTTATCATTTATCGCGGAATCTGATATACTCCTTTAATTTGTAGCATTGATGTAGAGTCATCAATCTTGGTAGAAGTTGAAGCTGGCGTTATAATGGTTACAGTAAAAAAGAAAGGGGTTAAGGGGAGAAAGTTGCTTGAAATTTTGTAAGAAGGATAAGAAACAAGTCGTGGTGAAAACTGGGGAAGATATTATTTTCTTAAATATACTCTATGAATATTATAAAAAATATCAGATTAAATCCTTTTTTAATTTTTATCACGTGATTTAGATCTTGTAATTTTATTGGTTGAATACAATGGCTGCATAATTTCGTTTCTAATTCCTAATGCCTGACTATGTATATCACATGTTTGCACTGCTTTTAGCGCTTCTATTGTTGCTCTTCCCACCTGTCTTAATTGATACATTATTTTCTATACATTACTTTTTCTATAAATTACTTTATCTTGATCTTATCAAATTTTTTATCACAAAAATCTTTACTTCTTCATTTATCTTTACTCTAACTGTCAGATTATTACTATACATACTAATCATTTCACTATTCATGCTATAAATTTGCTCTAACTTTTCTTGTTTTCTAATTTATATCATGATCACTAGTAATTGCAACTGGTTTAAAAATCAATTTTCTTTAATAAATACTTTCATAAATAATTAGTTTTTTTTGATATTTTATATAATTTCTTTTCTTATTCTTTCTATCTCTCTCATATGAACTTCATAAGTAATCTGATTACTATTTTTTTCTTGAGCATTACTCAAAATATGATTAACTTAATTATTATCTGTATTTTCTTATATAATTTTAATTTTATTCTCTTGTTCAATTTGCTAATTATTTTCTTGTATAATTTTTATAACTTGAATATTATTTTTCTCTTTTTATGTAACTTCATCAATTTGACAATTTTTATATATTATCTTATTTGAAATACTATAAACATCTCATATTTTAAAATTAAAAAAGGCTTTATAAGATGACTTATTGTGAACTTCATAAGAAGTCTTGTTATAACTAATTATAAATACTAAAAGAATATTAATTCATTAATATTTTTGAATCTTGATAACTTTATTTTATAATATTTTCATCAAATATTAATCAAGTATTTGATTAAATTATTCAATCTTTTCCTGACTTTGTGAATAATAAATATAATTATAAACAAGTTTTATCTAAGAATAAAATAAAATAAAATAAAAAAAATATGAAATAAATATGAACTAAAAATTAAAAAATCTTAAGTATTTTGTATATGTAATTCAAAATATCAGTTACAAATTTCAATCTATTATTAGCTTGAGGTATGTTAGATGAATTAAAATTCTGAAAAAACTTTATCAATTTCTTGTAAATTATGTGATATTTTTTGTTTTTTAATGAAATTATCCAAATATAATATAAAAATATATTAATTATTATAAGAATATAACTATATTTATCATTTTATTTGATAAAAAAAAGAAAATTAATCAAATTATTCTGAATATATTGAAGAGAATTATAGATTATAACTAAAGTGAGATATATTTTTTTCTTAATACTTATATTTCAAATATAAATAGAATAATTTCTTATATATTTCTTAACTTTCTCTTATATAATTTTAATATACTTCTCATAAAGCATCTTATATATTTTATGATAGCTAAAATATGAATTGCTAATATGAAACTTTTTAAAAAGAGACTTTCTTAAATTTATATCATATATTAGAATAACTCTTTTCTTAATAGATGACAAATTTTCATTTTTAGATAATCAAATATAAAAAAGATAATTATTTTTATTATTATAAAAAAAGTTTTTATATCATTTATAAAATTATTAAATTTTTTTAAGCTATTATATATTAAAGATATGTCAAACTAAAGATAAGTATTAAAGTTTTTAGATATATTAGATATCTTTGAGAGTTTAATTATTTTGAAAATAAGAAAAGATAATGAAAAAAAATGAGAAAAAAAATATAAAATGAATAGAAAAAATATATAAGTAAAAGAAAGAAAAGAAAAGAGTGAGGAAAAAAATATGAAAATATATGAAGTATATGAGTGAAGAATATATGAGTGAAGAATATATGAGTAAAGAATATATGAGTAAAGAAAAAGTGTATGATTAAATAGAAATAAATAAGTTAAGACAAAGTAAAAAAAGAATAAAAAAATGTATTATTAAAAAAAGTATATATAATTGAATAAAATACAGATATATATAAAAAGTAATCTTTATCTGATTAAAAAATTCTTTTTTTACTTAATTAAAAATCAAAAATTTTTTATTTTTGTCTATTGAAACTTTTACTATTAGCTTTGCTTTGTATTTACTTAAAATTCTTGTTATCTTCTTATCTTTATATTTATCCAAGATCTATTTATATTTATCAAGATTCTTACTATTCTCTTTACTTATTTTTATATTTATTTAAAATTCTTACTATATATATTTATCAAGATTCTTGTCACCTAAAGTTCTTATTATTAGTATTCATTCAAGATTCTTGATATCAAAATCTTTATTCTAATTAAAAATTTTAAAAAAACTAGTTATTTAAATCAAAATTCAAATATATTTATTAGATATTTAGAATATAACTAAAATAAATTCTAATACAAGCCTAACTTTAACTAATCAAAAAACTCAAATAAAGTATTATACTAAATAAAATATTCAAAAAATACTTATCTATATACTTAAGAAGATATCTAGATATAATCAAGTAAATTTTAATATAAGTTCAAGTTCTAATTCAAAAAATATTTAATAAGACTTAAGTAAAGTATTATATCAAGCAAAATTCAAAAAGTACTTATCTATATGTAATTACTAATAAAAATAAGTAATTTAAAAAAAGTATTGTAACCAATTAGCTTATTTGTGTAGCGCAGTAGACGTGGCGCAGCCGCAGCACGTGGCGCAGTAATCGCCGATCACTACTAAATCGGGCGAATAAGTAATT